AGGAAATATCAGTTTACATTTCCAAACATTCATTTTGCCATTAATTGTAATAATCCAGTGAGATTTTTGTTTGCACAAGAAGTCTGACAGCAGACAGTGCTCCACACAGAGATCTGATCATCATCATCAGTCTGTCTGGAATGACATGAAGAAACCGAACAAACTGAGACAGACTAAATCTAGAAGAACTGTGGCAACGGCTCCAAGATGCTTTAAGAAACCTACCTGCAAAGCTACCTGAAAAACTATGCGCAAGTGCACTGAGGGCAAAAGCTGCTTTAAACGCAAAAGATGGTCACACCAAAAGTGATTTAATTTAGTTAATAGAAGTTAATTGATAAAGAAAATCTGTTTATGATCGTCTATTTATTAAATCTTGCTGCAATGGCACCACCATGTCCAAAAACTCATCGTATCATGCAGTCACACACCAGATGTGCCTCTTCCCATAAACAGACTTTATTTCCAAAAAATAGCCCCTACAACAGGGTAGCAGGAGGGAGAGGAAGGATCATTTATACAGACTTTACAGATAAAACACTCACTTGGCTGTTCTTAAAATCTCACTGTAAATAGAGACAATATTTCAACCACAATCTAAACCATCCCTATATAGCCCAGACAGATCAGAGTGACAGTAGTTAAGTGAGAATAGGATGTCCAGTTCTGGCTCAGAAAACTGGAAATAAGCAGAACATGAATGATTTGATGAAGCGTTTTATACCTGAAACAGAATCAAAATCTAAAGAAATTCAAGGTATTTCATTTACGTCTTTAAGGGTGAATAAAAGCAATAGTAGTCCAGATGTAAAGAACATGATGTGTAGTGTGTTATAGAAAATGAACACCAACAAAACAAACAAATAAACCGAAAAACCACCAATTAAAATTAACAAATATAAATGACAGTATTGCACCAAGCTGGCAAACTAGTCGGCCATGAAAGGAAACAGTCAGCACACTAGGACACTTCTAGAAGACTTTTGACGTCTTGCCATGCAGACGCATCCAGTATCTGTATCAGCTTTGCCGTTACATTACATCTGAATGCTATGACTTTGCAGAAATAGAGATATCAGGAAAGAAAACTAATTACAGGAATCTGGAATGTGGTCAAAATAAGGTGTCTACCTTTATGCATTTGACAGACAATGTGAAAGACCCTTGACTGACAGATGCTGACATTGTCAACTTCATCTACATTTCCAGACGCTTAAAAATTCCTTCATTAATTTGGGCTTTCTTAAAGGGTAAAATAACGTTCTTGAGGAAGTGCGGGTAGTGCTCTAGTGTTACTAGTCTGGACAAGCCCCATTAAAACTGGGTGGAAATTATTTTTTGTCAGAACGCTCTGATAAAAAAAAAGAAAAAAAGAACACAAACAGATCAGATGTAACTTTGGTAATTAAGCAAGGAAACTTATTCAGAGAAGAATGTAAATTAACCCTGTGTTAAATAATGTGTCCATTTGTTTCGTATAATAAGTGAATGAGCATGTAACTGCCTCTCTCTCAGTAAAGCGTGATGAATCTCTTTCTCACAGATATCCTCCCATGCATAGCAGCAACAGCACGTGAACAGTCAGCAGGTAGAGTGACACCAGCAGAGGGGTTCGCTGACGAGAGCAGAAGGCAACTCGCAGCATCCGCAGTAGCCCAGGTCCACCACTACGAGTCTAAGGTAAAAAAGAAGATACATCTAAAAAATATATCCTATATATAATTAGATTTAAAAAAAAACTCAGGCTTTAATAATAAAATAATACATTAAATCAGAAATTTGATTTGTATTAGCATGTTTATGCGTGTTAAAACAACGGCATTGAGGGGTTGTGTTTACCCGTGTAACGGCGCCCTCTGGAGGCTCAATAAGTACAGCCGTCTCTGACATCATGGCTTCAGATGCTGTCTGCCACTCCCCCTGTGTATAGCTGTAAATGAAGAAGCGAAATTGTAATATTTAGTTTTTAAATGTGAAAAGTGAGGCATGAAATATGTGAATAAAAACTGCAGTTGGTCCGTATGCAGTGGGCCCAAATGTTACGTAGTTCAGAGTAAAGCTCCAGATGATTTGGTTTGATATTTTGTATGTAAAACAATGACATGACAATTTATGTGTCTTGTATTCTATATTTCACACTAAACTAGTCTGCAGCAATAACGCCCAGAGCCAGGGGCAGTGAGTTAATCTTAATCTGAGATAAGTGTCAAACCGTTTGAGGTGATCCTGTGCAGCGATGAGCTGCTCCTCTACTCGGAGTCTCTGTTCTGACTCCTCATCCAGCCTGAAAGAAACACACACACAGTTGAAGAGTTACTGTACAGCATAGGTATTATACAATACAATAGCCATTGATTAAAAAAGGAAATTGATAAGACTGATAGGAAAATAGACCAAACAGAGAAGAAAATCAATTTTATTACAGTGTTCAAACACGTGTTGTACATATCACATGCTTAATTCCTTTCAAATACAGTATTAGTAGCTATTAGCTGGAGTATTATCTACAACTGCTATCAATGCAGTTTGTGGCACAGGTGCTAAAGAGATTGACAGCATGCAACTGTGGATCAGTATAATTAATGATAAGACTAAACTTGGCAGCATTACCTTCTTTGGAGTTCAATGCACTCAGCTTT